TAGGGACAAAAAGACTCCTAGTTGGATGAGTGACTATGTGACAGCTAATGTCAACTGTGATCATGCATTGCCTTATCCTATGCACCATTCAATCAGTTATGCTAATGTGAAGCCTTATTACCAATAGTTCCTAGCTGCTTTCACCTCTATTATGGAACCTAAAAATTTTCAGGAGGCTTGCAAGGATCCACTTTGGGTAGAAGCAATGAAAGCAGAAATTCAGGCCTTAGAAGATAACAGAACATGGAGGCTGGTTACTCTACCACCAGGGAAGATGCCCATTGGATGTAAATGTGTGTTCAAAATCAAGTACAAGGTAGATGGCTCAGTAGATAGACATAAGGCAAGATTTGTTGCTAAATGATACAATCAACAAGAGAGTATTGATCACAATGAAACATTCTCTTCGATTGTGAAGATTGTGACTATGAGATCTGTGCTTTCAATTGCTGCAACAGAAGGATGACATGTACATCAGATGGATGTATACAATGCATATTTTCAAAATGATCTACCAAATGAGGTTTACATGCAATTGCTAGAGGGTTTTGCAAGCCAGGGGAAGAATACAGTTTGTAGGCTTGTCAAATAACTGTATGGATTAAAACTAGCAAGTCAACAATGGAATGTAAAATTAACAAAAGCCTTACAAGCACAAAGATTTACGCAAATCAATCTAGATTACTCTTTATTCATACAAAAGCAGAGAAGCAATATTGTGATTATTCTAGTTAGGGGTGTACATAGGTCGGGTTGGTTCGGATTTTACAATTATCAAACCAAACCAATTGTGTCGGGTTATTAAATCTAAAGATCAAACCAAACCAATAAAACTCGAGTTTTTCATCTCGATTTTTTCGAGTTTTTTCGGGTTTTCGGGTTATTCGGGTTTTTTCCGGTAAAATCTTCATAGAACAAAATATATAACGTATGCTCAAAATATTTCTTTAATCCTAGTAAGACACAACTATATAAAGTATTTTCCAAGAAAATAATACAAAATATGAGACGTGTCATATCATTATCTTAAAATATTCAACAATAAAGATAATAAAATTATGTAATATAAATATTGCTCATTAAAAAGTCATAATAAAAATAAACATAATCTAAAAGTACTAAGTCATGCTAAAATAAATAGACTAATAAGGAAGTATTAATTACATGACTAAACGCTAAAGAAAAATAAAAATAGGTTATGTACTTTTATCTAAACTATTGTAAAATAAAAAAATAGATATTCAATACATTCTCGTTCGTAATATAGAATTGAGTGTTTTTTATTAGCATTAGTATTGATCTGATTTTGGTTTGTGCTTTTGTTAGCATTATTTAATTTACTAATATTGATGGCTATAAAACTTATTGGAGCATTCAAAAGTTCTAAGTCCAACCTTGAAATAATACCTTAAAAGTTAAAATTATGAAATTTTTTAAGAAATATTTATAAATTACATCACAATAAGTATATTTATATATTAAATATATCTAAAATTTCTATATATATAATGTCGGGTTGGTTTGGTTTCGGTTTGACTTTCTTTAACTAAAACCAAACCAAACCAATTATGGTCGGGTTTTTTTTCCAACACCAAACCAAATCAAACCAAACCATAGTCAGGTTTTTTTTCTCGGTTTGACTCGAATTATTGGATTGATGCGGTTTGTCGGTTTTCTTTGTACACCCCTAATTCTAGTATATGTTGACGACATGTAGATCACTGGAAACAACCTCAAGATCATAGAAGCAACTAAGAAGAACCCACATGCAGCTTTCAAAATAAAAGATCTTGGAGAGTTAAGGTACTTTCTGGGAATTGAGTTTGGTAGGTCGGGGAGAGGAATCTTAATAAATCAACAAAAGTATGCATTGGAACTCATTGGAGATTTAGGACTAAGTGTATCCAAGCCTACAACCCACTAGAATACAATAAAAAACTCACTGATAATAGGTTGGATGAAGTTACAGGAGCTGAAGGTGATGACCTCTTAGAAGACAAGGGAAAATATCAGGGACTCATTGGTAAATTGCAATATCTGACTCTGACTAGATTAGATCTAGCATTTGCAGTCCAAACATTGAGCCAGTTCATGCAACAACCTGAAAGAAGTCATTGGGAAGCTGCACTAAGGGTAGTGAGGTACATAAAAAAAGATACGCATTTTGATGAGTAGCGAGAAAAGCAATGTGCTAACAACCTATTGTGATGCAGACTGGACATCATGTCCCAACACAAGGAAGTCAGTGACTGGATTTCTCATTAAGCATGGAAATTTACTCATATCATGGAAGTCAAAGAAGCAAAACACAATCTCTAGAAGTTCAGCTGAAGCAAAGTATAGAAGCATAACCTGGACAGTTGCTGAACTAGTTTGGTTGGTAGGATTATTCAAGGAACTTGGAACAGAGGTGAAACTGCCAATCAACCTATTCTATGATAGCAAGACAACACTACAAATTGCAGCTAATCCAGTATATCATGAAAGAACTAAGCATATAGAAATAGATTGTCACTTTATAAGGGAGAAGATTCAACAAGGATTGATCAAAACACAACATGTGAATTCTAAGGAGCAGCAGGCATGCATTATAACCAAAGCACTTCTGAGATCACAGCATGAGTACCTATTTTTCAAGCTAGGAGTACTCAATATTTTCACACCTACCAGCTTGAGGGAGAGTGTTGAAAATGGGATTACTTGAAGTTAAATGAGCTAGAGTTGAGTCTTAACTAGAGTTAGTATAGATTAGTCATTAGTTAATTATGGTTGGGTTAATTAGTCGGTTAGAAGCAGTTATATTGTATATATATATTGTAGCTACCTTATTTAATAATAGAATGTGAGCTCATTATTTTCATTTCATCATTTCTGTAACTCCACTGTCTTCACCAATTTTCTCTCGTAAAGCTTCATTAGAATAAAACTAGGGCTTAATCCATGGAAACTAATAAGTATGTTCTAGAGAGTTGAGATGAGAACAAAAACAATACGACATGTAAGATACATATCCATGGGCAGCACATACAAATTATGAATTATGGACGAAAGAGAAGAAGATTTGTATATGTCAGTGTAACAAAGCCTAATATTAAGTTTGCCATAATGCGACGAATTCAACATTGATTAGAACTCACACTTCTATGCAGAGAAAATAAACTATAGTATAAGGCAGTTCGGTGCACTAAGTTCTTGTTATGCACGGAGTCAGGAGAAGAGTCGGACTACAAGGGTCTATTGTACGCAGTCTTACCCTGCATTTCTGCAAGAAACTGTTTTCACGGCTCGAACCCGTAACCAGGAGGTCACGGATTTCATCTAAAAATATTGCTTTTTCTTAATTTATGTGGTATTATACTGGAAATATAACATAAAATAAAATTTATATATTTAAAAATTAAAAAATACTTATGAATCACAATAAAAAATTTTGGTTTGATACTCGAAATTCAAATAAGGGGGAGAGAGTAGTATAAAAATATCGGTGAATAGAAAGTATGATAAATAGTATCCAAAAGTAGGATATATAGTACTATTCAAATTGTACAAATTAGGACGGAGAGTAGTATAAAAATGTCGGAAAGTAGAAAGTAGGATATATAGTACCTAAATTGTCTTTTGTATCGTCAAATAATCTGAGTTAGTCCCGTTAGTGATGGATGAAACCACATATATTTTTTAATTGAAAGCAAAATGTGACTAAACTAAATATTATAAGGATCAAAGTTGGAATAACACAATAACTCAACCAGAAATATTATTTTCCCCTTTTTTTTCTTCGTATTATAGCTTTCTAATTGAACTTACGGGCATGGCAATGATACTATAGTCTATGAGCCAAATCATTTGGATGAAACCTTCTCCTTAAGTCAAGTCAGCTCGAATATTTGAAGTAATATTTGAAGATTTTCAGTCGTTTGACCATGAATAAGATTTTTGGGAGATTATGTATTTTCAAAAATTAAGTAAAATTGTCATATTACACTACGTTTAGGGAAATGTATTTGGAGAACACTTGTATTAGTCTTTTTAGATCCATAATTGAATTGTTTAATTTGAATTGGTTTTTGAAAAGTAGTTCAATTTAAAAAAAAAATTGTGCTTCAACATGAATTTCTTATTGAAAAACTAGTTTGTGAAAATAGAAGATATATAAGTGAAAGTTCTTTTCACATAAAATAAACATTCAAACTAATATTATTCTGTTTGAAATACCAATGTTGATATTTTATAGTGAAAAAATGATGTTGTATAACCGCTTTCAAAATAACAGCCTTTGTATGTATGTAATATACAAATTTTATACACTTTTGCAGCTATCAAATTTAAAAATAGTTTTGACAACGGGCTAAAAGTGATCTTTGCCCTTTTATAATTAAAAGCACTTATGAACAAAAATTAGTACTATACGTAAATACTAAAATTCAGTACTTACAAATAATAAAATAGTATTTTATGTCCAAACACGTATTTATGTTTGTTTATCAAGCTGGCATGTTACTTCAACTTCAAAAGTAAAATATGATATCTGAACTTTAAAAAGTAGATTTTAGAAGTTTTTAAAGTTTTTTAGTCACAAAATTTCAGATGTGTTTTCATATTTAAATACTTTCAAATTAAACTTAATTTTAAATATTATATTTTCCTAAATATTAACTAATTCATGTCCAAACGCTATTGTCGATCAATGACCGAGTAAAATATAAGCATATGAAAGGGTGAGTAGTTTAAAGATACTGATTTGACTTGTTTATTCTCTTTTGTTAATATATAATTTTTTCCTCAAGATATATTGATATTGTGTTTTTTAAACTAACAATTAAAATTTATTAAATATAAGACGAAAATGAAAAAGCTCACATTTGGAAAAATTATTGGACAAAACTGCTAAGGAATCATTTATCATTTTCTACCGAACTTTACCCAACTAAAGTTGGTTCAGTAATTGTGATACATAAGTCGCATATAAGCCGGATCCGTAAAATAAGATTTACAAGTCGCATTCTGACAATGCGATCAGCGGCCCCCTACTTTCCCTTTTACACCTGTGAATTTTACTTTGAAATCAAAACTGATTCATGGCTTCTTCCGCTAATTCTAGGCTCGAAATCCTCACTCGACACTTAACTTCGGCAGCTTTTGCCTCTAAGGTACCACTAAAAATCACACTCTCTTACTACTGATTACGTTTTTTTTTTTGCAATTCAAAAACAGGGTCGTGATTTTGATATGGTAATCAAAGTACAAATGCCTTAATTTCTGAGATTTTTTTTCCAGTTTCAGTTATGGAAAGCTATTTTTCCGAACAATTAACTTCAATTTATGGTTATATCTTAAGCAAAATGGACACTTCATAAGTTTCTGCCTCTAAGGTAGCTCCAAAAATCACTCTTTCTTACGAACAATTATTCTTTTTGCAATTCAAAAGCAGGTTCCGAGGTTGTTAAATACTAATCAGATTACCAATGTTTAATTTCTATTGTTCAATTTTAGTTAGTGGAAAAATGCTAATTTTTCCTGATGATGAATTCTTTCTCACGCTTTATAGGCTGGCTCTGATGGTGAAAATTTGGAGTGGATTAAGATATCACCTGAGGTATCAGAAGCACTAAAAACTGGCAGCCCAATTGTTGCACTTGAATCCACCATAATATCTCATGGTACGTGAAAATTTTGACCTCATTGCTCAATTAAATCGTCTGCTTATATTGTCTACATGTTATTAGTAGTACTACTGAAGGGAATTATGTTGTAGTAATTAGTACTAGTGGTGAGAGTGTAGCTTGTGATGTGTGGGTTAGGGGCACGTCACGAGTTCGAACCCTGCTGCAGGCAATAACCTTGTATTTAAGTGAAGAAGATTTTGACCTTCTTGCTCAATTATTATCGTTTGCGTATACTGTCTGTTTTCTGTTATTATTACAATTGAAGGGAAATTATGTACTTCCAGTAATTAATACTAGTGGTGAGAGCACAACTTGTGATGTGTGGGTTAGGCGCACGTCGCGGGTTCGAACCCTGACGCAGGCAAAAGCGTTGTATTTAAGTAGAGGGGCAAACCCATTTTCCACCGAGTTTCGAACTGTGTGCCACTGGTCATCGGAAATTTCTCTCTTCTAAAAAAAAGAAAAAATTTATGTATTAGTTATTATTACAATGTAAAGCTTGTGTTAGTGAATATAATATTGTACTTCGCTAGGGAGTAGAAAAAAAATATGTAATGGAAATATAGATGAGAAATAATGTTGTTAAACTAATTTTAGAAATAAAATTTACTTGATCTCCATGCGGGGCGGACGCAGGATGAAAAGCCGGTGGATTCAGAATTTTAACTGGCTTGAGGAGAAAATGTCTTTGCACCCACTGCTCCCTTGAAGCACTCTTTTATTAAAATACCAACTTTAATGGACACTCACACACACACACACATTACAAAAGGTCATAGCTAAAAGCTGTAGTTCAGATGAATCCACCGTTTATGCACTAGGTCCGCCCCTGATATTGATTCTTCCTCCCTGTACCCTGCTCTCCCAAATAAAATAGAAAAATAAAAGATGTAGAGTTCCATGTTAAATTTATATAGTGACAACAAAGTGTTACCTGAATGATCAATGTCTTACATCATCAGCTGTGGCCTTACTGCGCGTCGAACATGCTGACAGATTGAGATTAAGACTTATAACCGTGCGACAATGCATTTCAGTAGTTGGCCTTACTTAACCTTACATGTATTACTTTCTCATTTATGTTTTATGTATAGTAGCTCCAACTATGGATTTTCTTGCTGTTTCCAGGAATGCCTTATCCTCAGAATTTTGAGACAGCTAAGGAGTTGGAGGTCATTGTGAGGAAGAATGGAGCTGTACCTGCAACTATCGCTATTCTGGATGGTGTACCATGCATAGGTGTCCACTTGAGGCTTTTTTTCTCTCTTTTTTTCTTTATCATTCTTTCTTCTTTTCTCGTTTCTTGGTTGGAGGTACATTTGCACGATTTTGGGGTTGATTGCTAGGATTCTTAAGTTCATCCCGTTTCTCCTAAACTTAAAGTGTCCACAGACCTCATGGGCACTCTGCTTGTGCTCGAGGAATAGTAATTGCAATAAACACCAACCTCTTTGTTCTTAGCTTCTTAATATGCATTTTAACTATCAATAGAGACCAAGTTGTCTATGTTTTATCTGTTTATCTATTTACTCTATACTCATGCTAACTTTTGATATTTGGTAGCTCAATCAAATTGGTGAATGCTTTACAACATTTTTTCCTTATGAAAGAAATTGATTTTTTACAAGGGACTAGAGTTTCTTGAAAATATACTCTGCTACATTAATGTACATTGACTTCTATGCTCAATCATATTCCAGCACTAGCATATGGCTGACGCATATTCCATGAGCATCTGACCGTTGTCCGAAACTCTTGATCATTCCAATTTACTCGGACGGTTTCTGTGAGTGTTCAATTTGAAGATTAGCAATTTGAAATGGAGTGGAATACTTTTGGAATGGAATGTGAAAGATGAACAATTTGGCATAGAAGTAACCTTTCTGAGAACATCTATTCTTCACTGCAGTAAACCATTTCCATCTTTTACTTAATTAATTCCAAAACTTTATGTTCTACAGCAGTTTTGAATCTTTCATAACTTATTTGTTAAACTTGCACTTTTTGAGGAAATGAGAAATATGAGAACACGAGATCTCCACAATATCGACATCATTACTAACTAATAGCCATTGGGACAGGTAATCATCTGCTTGTCAAATTAAATCTGATACTCTTGGCTCAAATTCTGTGGAACTTCTGAAATAAAAAAACTTGAAATACTTGCATGACCTTACGTTCTGAGTTGTCTTACTCTTGTGCTAACTTTCTTTTAACTGGGAAATTCATTGTAGCATGTAAAATGTCTTAACCATGAATTATATTCTTTATGGTAGGCTTGACTACAGAAGAACTAGAGATTTTAGCACGCCTTGGTAGCAAAGCTCGGAAAACTGCTAGTAGAGACATTGCAGTTGTTGTAAGTCAATTCCAAACTACGTGACTTAGTCTGGGAAATTATATATTGTTTGCCTTTATCATTTTTGCTACAGTAAAATATTTGTTTTGACTGCTGAAACTTAATTTTCACTAGCTTTTGTGTGTTTGTGTCGAGATGTGACATGTAAAAGCTTCATGAACCTAGAGAAAATAGCATGCCACGGATAGCTTGTTTTGTAATGTATGCGGCAGAACTATGTGTCTTATGATGACTGCATAAGTATACAAATGTACTTCATCACAGCTTGCACTATCTTATGTTTATTTGTTTTACACTCCCTTGTTACAGTTCCAAATATTTCTAGGAAGACAGTTTTTATATTATAACAAAAAGTGGTTATTTCTTGCTTAATCCTCCCTTTACCACAGTTTTAAGTATTTTGAGGGAAGTGTGACTTTTAAATTAAAAGAAGGTTTACTTATTCTTTGTTCTTTTCAGAAACCATACGAAAAAGATGACGAAAAAGCTCTTGGCACAAACAGCTTGAGCCGTCTCACTTGTTAGGTAGTGCAAATCATGTATTGTCAATGTCAGCCTTCACATTGAAAGAGAACTGATCATTCACTTATTTGGTTTATTCCTGAAGGCATCAATTCCAGAAGCCTGGATTTTGTTCGCGATTCAGTAGAATCTTTTTCTCTTATTAGACATGCTCTCCTAACCATGTACCACTAACCTCCACCTATGATAAGATTGCTTCAATTCCTGTGAAGTACTTCTCTTCAAGATTACACTTATAAATTCCCCCCCCCTCATACTAACAATAAGCCTTTTAATATAAATCCACTCATATCACTATGACAATTTTGCGTAACCCCCTACGAAAGACTTACTTCTCTTGTCATATAGGCCTACAAGAAATTTATCAGTAGCTAATCACAGCAGTCGACATGATTATCATCACAATTATGAACAAACCACCTTAATGAATCTCATAAATTCCATCCTTGATGGGATTATAATATTCTTATTTCAGTGTAAAGAGTGAAAGAATAATATTCTTGGTCTTTTAATTGGAGCGGAATTTTGATGGGTGCTGTTGCTAAAAATTATAATAAGGAGGGTGGAAAGAACCAAGAACACATGATGATACCACACACTTTTTTGATGTTGCACTATTGAAGTGTATTATTAAGCACTCAAAGGTGTGCAATCTTCTGGACATTGTTATATTTGGTTCTACCTTTCGTCTCTGACCGGCATCTGTTTTCCATGTGTTTAAGCCATAGAAGGCTAGATATATGCATCATCTCTAAGTGTTCCCTTGCAAAAAGTGCGAAGCATATGTTTGGATATCTGCCAGGATCCTACCAAATATTCTTGGGAAGCCGCCACAAAGCTATCAAATTAAGTTTTTCTAAGTTACTTTCTTGTATTTTTTTCTAGATGGCAGGCAGGGAGAATGGAGCAACTACTGTCTCTGCAACAATGTATCTTGCTTCAGTGGTGATGATTGCCTTCATATGGATTTCTCTAGTATTTTGCTTTTTTTCTTTTCCTGATTCATCCTGATCTTTTGTAAAGAGTTTCTTCGTATCTTGTAGGTTGGTATTCCAATATTTGTCACTGGTGGTATTGGAGGAGTTCACAGACATGGAGAGAACAGTGAGTAAATCAATGCTTATATATGGGCTTTGGTGCTTCGTCTATGTGGTGATGCTAGAATTATGCATTTTGCTTGGTAGCATCTGATTTTTTAATTAGAATGGTAGCTTGCCAAATTGCGTTGATCATTTGTTGAGAGTTGGCAAACAAATATTTGTTTGATAAATAAAAATCAAGAATGGAAAACAAGATGCATGTCAAGGACATTTTAGTGTATAGACTGGTAAATGATCAGTAGTATCATCAGTATGACAATATGAATAAAGCATGAATTGCACTAAGCGTGGGTTTTCAACTCCAACCTGTAACCAGGAGCAATTAGAGCTTCTTCAGATGATTATCTTACCGATTAGTTCCAAATATTGGCTCAATAATGATTTTCAACTTTTGTAAATGGATCTCGATCTATGGACCTTGTTAATATGAGGTGCTTAGAATGTCTCCATCACTATGAACTGTTTGCTACCTAAATGGTCTTTGGCAATCCTTACCTTATAAGTTAACGTTTGAGATTGAGTTAAGATCAAAGTCCATTTTCTTAACATGATATCAGAGTAAGTGCCATCCCTATTCTTGCTTTACTTGTTTCCCGCGCTCCAAATGTCTTAACCTGGGCTTGCGGAGGAGGGGTGTAAGAGTTTCTTACATAGGTTGAGGGAATGAACTATTATCTCGTTACATGGTTTGGACAATTCTCATACGCTAGCCTTTAAGTGGTTGAGTTAGAGCCAACGTCCATTTTCTTAATATTATTCATCTCACGTGGCTTTATTTCTCACATGGTATCAATGACAAACCCATCCCTATTCTTGGTTTATCCAATATTGGCCCTCATATTATGCTATCCACGCTCTAGATGTCCAGATTTGTGCGTGTAGAGAGTTAGAGTGTCTCCCTATGGACTGTTGTCTCCTTGTATTGTCTTGGTCTCTCAGCTCATGAGTTAGTTTTTGAGGTTGAGTTAGACCTAACGTCCATTTTCTTAACAAGGTGTATTAGGCTGCTTCTAATAAACCCGTTCTCTACATGGTTGTCATTTAGAGCATCTCTTCAAGCCTTTTTGGTTTAAGGTAGCAAACCTTTTTGTAATGAAATAAGCAACTCCCTTAGCTTTCAACTTTTCTTCTCTTGTTTGCATTTATTTATTTATTTATTATGTTTGAGTAGTTCTTATGCATTTATTCTTTTACAGCATTGGATATTTCGTCTGATCTCACCGAGCTTGGAATTACTCCTGTGGCTGTGATCTCTGCTGGTGTAAAATCGATACTAGATATTCCCCGAACACTTGAATATTTGGTTTGTACCAACATTCTTATTTTACTTCAGAGCTCTTACATATTATAACGGATGACTTGGAAAATCAACCCTTTCTTTTCCTATCTTGACCTGCAGGAAACTCAAAGAGTTACTGTTGCAGCTTATCAAACCGATGAGTTCCCTGCTTTCTTCACACAAACCAGTGGCTGCAAGGTTCACATTTTGTCATCAACCCTATGATTAACTCCTATGTTTCGATCATATAGGTCCCTTTCTAACTGCTCTACTCAATGATTAGAAAAGATTTTTTTACATTAGTACAGCATTTGCTCCACAAGATGTAAAAGAGGACATGCATGCACTAAGATCCAACTGTAAGAGAGGAGCTTCAAAAAAATTGTTTGATGATACTCTGTTGAAACCAGTTATGTTATTAGAGCAAAATGCAGTTTTACATCCCTCTTCTGGCATCAGTTCTTTAGTATTAAGTAACCCCCTTTTCAGGTTAAAGCCTTGAAACCAAATTCCCTATACCACATAAGGTGTAAAGAATGGAGCATAGACAGCAATGTTTTGGGAAATGTCATCATGTTCTCAAACCTAGAAGTCTATATCTGCCTTTGATTTTGGAAACTAACATTTCGAAGAACGGAAATGCCAGAATATGTTATGTCCTGTCTACTACTTGACTTAGGATAAATGAGGAGAGAAGTAAACTGAGACAGCCATATAGTTTATAATGTCTCTGGAGTATGGTTTATCTCTCAATGTTTCAAGAGTTGCCTGTCAGGCTCTTGATAAGGAGATCTCTATATACTCACTTTAAAGGGGAATCATCATAAAATTAGCATGGTTTACAAATTTCATTAAACAAACAAAGTGGACTGTTAAAAGTCATGGAAACCCTCCCAATATATGAAAAGTAGACCAACTTATGCTTGTAATGGAATAATCTTAACTTATAGTTTCTTGTGTAGTATTCGCTCTTCTCATTTTAAATGTCACTCATTTCTTTTTGGTCTATCCCAAAAATAATGATACATTTCTATTTTTGGAAACTCTTTAGTTTTAAACTTCTCATTTTACCCCGAATGAGTAATGACATACTATAGCCATAGGAATGTCATGACATATTTAAGATCACAAGTTCTAAGACTACCTTTGGTAGGGTATATATATTCAGTTTATGTGTCTAAAATCTTCTTTTCCTTCTTAAGCACCATGCTCGGTGAACACCTCCGTATAAACTGAAATGGAAGGAGTAAATTGTTATACTGAACTGTGAAAGAGTGAAGTATAGAAAAAAGGGATCAAACATTGTTACATGCTGAAATGTGCTGTCCGTCAACACCAAACACTAACATGGTCAAATTGTGGGTTCTTCTCTTCCTCTTTTTTCAAAAAATTCATCCCCCC